ACATGAAAATACTATCGTAAAATTGAAGCGTATTGAAATCGACCAGGTTGTTTACATTCGCAGCATATAGGTCGTGGGTCAAAGTTGAATCAAATGATGAATAAATTTCCCGCTTTGTTGTGATTGGCTTATTTAATGGTATTGCATCATGGGAAAATAGTTGTTTACATACGAGGAATGACGATTATACTTTTCACGTCCTCGCGTTACTTTCCAGCCCCCTCCCCATTTTATCGTATTTGTGAATGATATAATTACTATATTAAGTGACAGAAAAAACAGTATGACAAATAGGGGGCCTATAGACACGTTGTGTCGTACGCAATGAATCCGCGCGTTTTCTCCATTCTCAAATATACTTCCGGGTTATGGCTTCACATGGCTTCGGCGGACTCGGTATAAATGGCTCATTCACAATGCAATTAACTTGGAAATTAAAAGAGTCTCCTATCACATCAACAATATAACACTTATATATTGTTTGAAGCGCCGTCTAAATGTTGGCTGTTCGCCGACGAAAATACATCGACGTCGAAAAGAAAAACGAAGTCTTGCACAACGAAGCCAAACACGATTTTAACATTCCTACGATCTTTCCGTCACGTTTTCAAACATCAGTTCAAGAAATAGAAATACAAGGTATAAACACACGCTTGTAGTTACTACTTCACAGTTAAACAGTTTGCAGAGTATTTCGTAGCGTCTAAGACATGGCCGATTTTTTTAAACTTCCATTGTGTAGTTTAATTGTTTTCGTTTTACATTTTAATAAATATGTCACTAATATGTCGTTGAAATCTTTCAATTATGTCTTTCTAGCTGTTGGGACTGAAAGTTAAATGCAACAATGACTGAAACAGAAATGTGTTTTATGAATTTTCTGTTTTATATAAGACAGATACATGGCTTTTGAAATTTACATGTCTCTGAATTAGACCAGGTAAATTCACAGAATTCAAGTTTATTTATTCATTCGTTTAGCTTGTTATATAATTTTTATTTTGCAAATGGCATTCAAAAAAGACATTTTGATGGTTAATTTTATATAAAAAATATCATTAAAAGTATGTCAAATCTGAAAAAAAGTTGAAAAGAAGATATTTGAAGTGGGCAATTTTGCAGTATTTAGAACAAGTTCAAGTCCAAATGGGGCACAATTGGGGTACGTTAAAAATAATCAAAGTCTAAAAGTGGAACATGTGAAAAATCAGAGTCCAAATGGGGCACATTTGAGGCACATTGATAAAAATAGAGTTCAAATGGGGCACATTTGAGGCATGTGGAAGAGACCTAAGTCCAAATGGGGCCCTTTTTAGGCACATTTTTAAAATTAGAGTCCAAATGGGGCACATTTGAGGCACATTGACAAAATTAGAGTCCAAACGGGGTACATTTGAGGTATACTTTAAAAATACCCCAGAAGTAGAGGTACATTTTAGGCATGCCTAAAATGTACCTCGGGCCAAAGGTACATTTTAGGCATGAAAAAGGCATGAAAAAGGCATGCCTCAATGTACCTTTTTTTAGCCTGGGTTCACTTATTATGTTCCTGTATACATGTATATACAAATGTGAATTTTCAGTTAAGTGCTTCATGTTTTTTTTTAAATATGTCCAAGTATTCCAGAAATACTCAAGATGACTAGTCGTGGCTCAGTACCCTGGTGTTCTTTTCTTTACAATTTACAAAATAATGTGGGGGCCCCCTTATTAGGGCACACATCTTTTTATGAGATCACCTATGGTATATACATTTTGTTTACATACAAAATGCTAAGCTTAAAACAATGATGTTCTGGATAAACAAATGCAAAAATTAAGAATGGATACTAAATTTATAATTATTCTGGATTCTGGATTCTTGATTCTGGATATGGGGTTTGGGGAAGATGGAGCCCTGGACATTGAGATTTGTCTGTACACCATTTAGGTGTTTTATACCTACATGACTGGAGTGCTCCTTGCAGAGTTGTTCCAGCTGTGTATAGAATGGTTGGTCACTCATTTTGGTAAACTGACCAATCACAGTGCAGGCTACCATCGGTACAAGGCCAACCAATGAACGAAGCTGTATTGCTGACCTATGACCCTTCTTAGATAATACATCATAGTAGAAGTTATCTTCAGTGTGCCATAGACCTGTTAAAGATGTTCAGTCAAAATGTAACTACACTGATACATAGCAGAATGTAGTATCTGTCAATCAACACCAGGTCACCATAGTAGAGACATTTCTTACATTAAGAACTAGAACTCTCATTTCGTTTTTAAAGTAAATATAGCTGGATATTAAATTATAGTTTTGTGGAGCATCAATATCTGTATATACATGTATATATACCTATTTAAGTATCAAGATCACATGTCGTTTTTAGAGTAACTCTGGATATTAAATCATAGTTTTTTGGAGCATCAATATCTCTCTCTATATACATACATATCAAATAATCAAGATCACAAATTTTGTACTTGCTCACAGCTACCAACCCTTTCTCAATAGGAGGAAGACTCCCTCATTTTGACCAAAATTTACCAATCACCCTCGAAACTCCCTCATTCAAGTTCAAACTCACAAAAACTTAAAATCTACATCCTGTGGTCAAATGATCTCCTAGTAATTTTAGTTTCAGTCACCTTTCTCATTGGAGGTTTCAGAGGTTGACACCTATGCTTGCTTGAAGGTACTTTCTGTTTGAAACCCAGCAGCAATCTTATGACACCTACCTCCACATCCTATCTCTAAGTTTAAGGCGTGAAACACCTTAACAAAATCCAGCAGATGTGTTATGGCTGAGTCTGTGTATCCCAGTTCCAAGGCCATCTCCATCATAGTGAGAGCGTAGAATGCCATCCAACCTGTAGCATCTGCCTGAAAATGACACAGGGGCATGTTTGTGGGAGTAAATACAAGCAGTCCTGGAACTAGATGTAAGCCCTTCATGAAGTTCATCAAACCATCTGTTATAAAACAATGGTCACCCAGTAATCTCAAAACTGAAAACATAATCTAATTTTTCTCTCACTTCACAAAAATATTGAAATTTTGACTTCGACCTTGAGGAGAAGAACTATAAGAATATATGTAAAGCAAACACACCTGTATTGCTCAACAAAATGGCTTTAATGTAAGTCTTTTATCCCCTATTCACAGAAGGGACATTCTATTAGCTACAGACAACAACAACCTACCTGTTCGATTTCTGTGTCTGCGGGTGTTGCTGCCGATCTATTTATAGCACTAATGTTGTCAAGGCCCAGGAATCCCCCGTAGAATATGTACTGATTCCATACGCGTTTCTCTTTCAACATCCTGTGGCAAAACAAACACAATGAATGTCCGAACGGGGTCTGATTTATAAGATCATGGAATACAAGAGGCCCAGAGGGCCTGAATCGCTCACCTGGATATCTAAGCAATCATGGCAAAATATTCTCCAAATGAGATCCAAGGTAATATGCCAGACCCCAATGCCAATTCTTGTAGTATGTCTGTATTCGATTTTTCATGCCCAGCAATTTAATGTATGGTTATGGGGTGGGGATCTCAACTGTTTCCAAGCTGTGACTCAGAAACTAGATCCCTAGGCATGTGGCCAGACCCCAGGATCAATTCTAATATCATGACTGCATTCATCTCTTTTTGTCCAGCATTTGTATTTATAGTCTTGGGGTGGGGATCTCAACCATTTTAAAGTAATGACCCAGGGGTTAAGTTTGCAAGGGTGGGTCAGACCCCAAGGCCATCCTGGAAGCATATGTGCATTCATCTCTTTATACTCAGCAATTGTATATATGCATGGTTATAGGGTGGGGATCTCAACTGTTTCCAAGCTGTGACTAAGAAACTAGGTCCCTAGGGGTTCGGTCAGACCCCAGGGTCTATTCTAATACCATGACTACTTTTGTCTCTTTATGCCAAGCATTTGTATATATAGTTCTCGGGTGGGGATCTCAACCGTTTCAAAGTTATGACCCAGGGACTATGTCTCAAAGGGTGGGGCCAGACCCTAGGCCATCCTGGAATCAAATGTGCATGCTTCTCTTAATTTATACTCTACAGTTGTATATATGGTTATAAAGTAATAAACTTTTTTTGGCCCCACCCCTTAGCACGGGGGGNGTACAATTTTGAATCCCTGCCACCCATGAATGCCTCTGACCAAATATGATCACTAACCATGGCATAATTCTACAGAAGAAGTCGTTAACAGCAATATAGCCAAATTGCCCCCTTTTGGACCCTCCCCTCAGCCATCTGGGGGACCACCCCAACCATTTGTACAATTTTGAATCTCCACTACCGAGGGATGCTTCCAGTCAAATATGGTTGATATCTATCTCTTAGATCCAGAGAAGAAGTCGCTAAAATCAATATAGCACAATTGTCCACTTTTGGCCCCGCCCCTCAGGTCCCTATGAGGCCAGACCCACGGTTTATATAATTGGTTCCCCTTCACCCAAGGATGCTTCAGACCAAATATGGAACAAATCCTTTCGTTCCTACAGAAGAAGAAGGATTTTAAAGAATTTGCTATATTTCCACTATTGGGCCCCGCCCCTCAGCCCCAAGCGGGGCCAGACCCACCATTTATACAAAATTTGTTCCCCTTCCCCTAAGGATACTTCTGACCAAATTTGGTCAAAATCTGCTCAGGTCGTTTATGTCTCGTAGCGATTTTTAGGAAAAGTTGACAGACGCCGCGCCATGGCATTAGCTCACTTGCCCTTCGGGCAGGTGAGCTGATAACCATACACAAAAGTATTTTATTTTGTTTAACGAAAGTGTTGGGTAAGCCTGTGGTGGTTAAGTGAGCTAATAACCATTAATAACCAGTGTCATTACCCTAACTTACAACACAGAACCATGTAGGTCAACTAGAGGGTCTGAACCAGTGCCATTACCCTAACTTACAACACAGAATCATGTAGGTCAACTAGAGTGTCTGAACCAGTGCCATTAACCTAACTTACAACACAGAACCATGTAGGGCAACTAGAGTGTCTGAACCAGTGCCATTAACCTAACTTACAACACAGAACCATGTAGGACAACTAGAGTATCTGAACCAGTGCCATTTCCCTAACTTACAACACAGAACCATGTACGTCAACTAGAGTATCTGAACCAGTGCCATTTCCCTAACTTACAACACAGAACCATGTAGGGCAACTAGAGTGTCTGAACCAGTGCCATTACCCTAACCTACAACACAGAACCATGTAGGTCAACTAGAGTATCTGAACCAGTGCCATTTCCCTAACTTACAACACAGAACCATGTAGGGCAACTAGAGTGTCTGAACCAGTGCCATTAACCTAACTTACAACACAGAACCATGTAGGACAACTAGAGTATCTGAACCAGTGCCATTACCCTAACCTACAACACAGAACCATGTAGGTCAACTAGAGGGTCTGAACCAGTGCCATTACCCTAACTTCCAACACAGAACCATGTAGGTCAACTAGAGTGTCTGAACCAGTGCCATTACCGTAACTTACAACACAGAACCATATAGACCAACTAGAGTATCTGAACCAGTGCCATTACCCTAACTTACAACACAGAACCATGTAGGGCAACTAGAGTGTCTGAACCAGTGCCATTACACTAACATACAACACAGAACCAAATAGACCAACTAGAGAATCTGAACCAGTGCCATTACCCTAACTTCCAACACAGAACCATGTAGGTCAACTAGAGGGTCTGAACCAGTGCCATTACCCTAACTTCCAACACAGAACCATGTAGGTCAACTAGAGGGTCTGAACCAGTGCCATTACCCTAACTTACAACACAGAATCATGTAGGTCAACTAGAGCCTCTGAACCAGTGCCATTACCCTAAGTAACTTACAACACAGAACCATGTTGGTCAACTAGAGTGACTGAACCAGTGCCATTACCCTAACTTACAACACAGAACCATGTAGGTCAACTAGAGTGAAAAAAGGAATGTTAAACAACATTGACCTTGTTTGGGGGAGACATATTGTTAATATGAGGTACCTTTGGTGAACATGACATGCCAAAGATACCAATATCAAGCAATTGGAATTTGTGTAATAAATCATGAAGTCGAGATTTGTGCTTGATTTTGTTTCTAGCAGAACACATGTTTATTTGAAAAGACACTTTACTAAAACCTGTTTATTTGACTAGATAGATGTATTTTACATATTGATTGATTTACTCACAAACATACATATCAACATCATACCTAAAGGTATCAGTGAAATGTTTCGCCCCAATATGTGTTGAGTCCCAGAAAGGCCTGCAATAACAAAGCCCTATCTACTGTTGGTTGTGCTTGTGGAATCCCAAGAAGGGTTCGGATAACGATTCCTTATCATACCTACCATTGGTAGTTCAGACTGAGTCTCTGGAAGGCTTTGGTTAAGAATTCCTTGTCTGTCGATCCATCATGTCTATACACGTTTAGTACTGACCAAGCGTGGATAGGGGGATTCATTTCTCCAAACTCATACTCACATCCTGGCATCTGAAACAAGAACAAATCAGTGTATTTCAAAATAGAGGGTCTTGTAGATGTGTCATAGGCTGGTCCCACACCGCTAGTACATTCCATTTAGTGGAATGTTCCGGTTGTGCTAACTTAGAACTGGTCTGTTAAAAGGAACCAACCTACTAGTCCAAGGTTGAACTGTCAGGAAGCGGATGTCCCATTCCTTTTAGTGGATTGGCTGGTTCGCATCGTCACAACTGGAAAGTTCTACTAAATGGAACATGCAAAGGGATATGCAAATACATCAAGAATTGATCCCTAACAGGCACCTGTACATACAGGTACATCATAGTTTGATCACACACAGGGACTTGAGTATGAAACTGTGTATAAGTTTACCCTTGACACTGTCACTCAACACCCCTTATAAGGTTATCTGTCACTCAACATCCCTTATAAGGTCATCTGTCACTCAACACCCCTTATAAGGTCATCTGTCACTCAACACCCCTTATAAGGTCATCTGTCACTCAACATCCCTTATAACTTTACCTGTCCTGATGGATGGAGGAAGCGGTCGGACAGTAGTAATAATAGCTGGTCCTTGGCAAAGTCAGAGTCAAGTCTCATAAATGGAATCATCTGGAAGGCTGTATCCCATGGAGCAAACTGCACAACAATGGAAAAAGCATGTACAAAATACTGGTCAAATTCTGTGTCAGGTTTGTACAGTGCTGTAAAAGAGCAGAGCCTACTGGTTATGCCTAACTTAAAACTGTACATGTTTTACGTTACCAGGTAACTAATTTTGGATATTTGCAAATTGTGATTTTTAGGGTACTGGTATATACAGTTTATGGTTTTACCAGAAAAACAAGGCGAAGTATATTATAAGCAATCTATAGTTCCACACCTTGTCACAAAGGTCCATAACTCTGTACATACTGAAGGAGGAGATCACCATATGTGACACTCCATCATCCTAAAAGATATTTTTATACAAAATTCGGCAAATAACGGTGACAGAGTATTCAAGATAATTGGCCCAAACAAAGTGATGCATCATGAACAAAGGGCAATCACTCTGTATATACATGAAGTGAGGCACAAGACCAATTATTAGTAAGTGACAATCGTATGAGGTACTGATCTATAATTTTTGTAGACGACTAATCTGTGTGTTGTTGGTGATTCCTTTATTAACCTAATTTCAATGTGTGGTATCTAGGACTACTGATAGTACTGATATTAGCTGTCATGAAGAAGAAATAGCCTACTGTCGTTGCATGTAACTAAAAACGGCGAGGGATACTGATAGTCTTCTGTTATTCAAATTCCATGCCAATGTTTTACACAAAAAATTACCCTTACCCAAGGAAACTCCCATTTATCTGGCACAGACATGATATCATGTGCATTGAAGTGTGTCCACTGATTATTCCTGATTGTTGAAGTGTTTCTTTTTTTCTTCAATGCTCCACAGCAGCCGGCATTTTGCCTGTCTTTCCTACGAACGTTGTCTAGCCACTCCGCCACATTATAACCGTAGTACTGTTTGTGCCAGAGAAGTCCGGCACATGCCTGTCGGGCCACAACTGACCACTCTCTATCCCAGGTAGCAGGAAATATCTATCAGAGTACATATAAAACATAGAAATTGCCTGAACATTGCTCAATGTTAACTAGGGCTTCTTGTCTGGTATTTAGCAGGTTATCTACTGTTCTCTCCAATAGGTCTTTGTTGTCATGGTTTTACTTAGATATGTAAGAATGAAACATTTATAATTTTAAGCAAAATTCTGAGACAAATATTTGCTAAGCGCATAATTTAAAGTGTGGTGACTACATCAGTAAAAGAGAAATCATCTGGACAAAATTCACCCTAAAGACAGATAAATGGACAGAAACCCTGATTCCAGTATACCCTCCCCTCTAATTTCTGTCTTCAGTGTGGGGAGTAGAATATATCTACTGATTTAAGAATATTCTGTACATAGAACCACATACCGACTGATAGAATTCATTCGCTGTCAGTGATCTCTGCAGAATGACATCCTGAACACCTTTTGAAACATCCCACAGATTGCTGGTGTTATAATTTTCCTTTGGATACAGCCCCCAACACACCTTCTTGTGTCCACCAGGGGGCACTGTGAGCTGATAGACAGCTGCACACTTAGATGTTGGTCCCTCTCTCCTTACAGCATCCTTTGTACCTGTCCAAGGTAATTAGAAGTTTTAATCTTACAGTGTATTTTGTACCTGTACAACATAAATAGGACTTTCAATTTTATGGAATCTTTGAAAATCCAATAGTTCCTTTCACTTCTCTGGACCCCAGGAATATGTCATGACAAAATTGAAGGCACGGGGCTAGCTATTGGTTGAGTTCATGTATAAAAATACTGACCAATTGCTAGACTGATACCTATCCTTTGAAGATTACAGGGAAATGACACCCAACTTTTAATGTCAGTCAATTTTTCCTTTATATACACTTTATTTATTTTACAACAATCATGAAACAAGTTATTTCAACTTATATTTATCACTTTTGTTGGCCCGGATGTAAGCGCACAGGAGGAAACCAGAGTACCTGGAGAAAACCCACGTGGTTGCGCAGGTGACCCCATACCTCCAATTGGGGAATTGAACACCAGCTACCATGATGAAAGGCAAGTGCGCCAACCATTGTGCCACCAGACCACCCAATGTTACCTCTACGCTACTGCGGGATTCTTTTGATTTATCTCAAAGGATCTAACTAGTCCATTTGTATAATCTTTAAGGTGGGACATACAGAGCCTTCAATTCTAACATGAAAAGTCCAATGGTGTTACAAACAAGATATGTGCTTCGATAGCAGAGCACTTTGATTTCAAAGATAATCTCCTGATATCCTTTGCTCCTGTCAAACCTAAAACAGGATTTGTAATCTGTAGAACCTTCCATACGTGTAACACAGTAGGTGTAGTAGTGCTCACCATTGACAACGTATTGATGAAAGGCATCTTTGTAGTATGTTCCTTCTTTAGAGGTTAACTTGTCTTCGTTTTCTGTGAACACTATCTCCGGGGGGCGTTCTGCATCATCAACACCTAGCCTTACCTCAAACGTTCCTGTGTGGTCGAAATATGTAAAATTATTATCTAAACTTTAAAAATAAATCGATTTTAACTTTCAGGTTAAAGAATGGTTTTGGTTAAGATCATATGGAATCATTTCACCGTTATTTAATGTGAAGCAGCATCAAATCAAATACTGGTATATATATGTTCAATTCTTTGCAGATACATGTTATGGGGATGGGGATCTAAACTGTTTCCAAGTTATGACCCACAGACTAAGTCACCATATGTGGGGCTAGACCCTGGGGCAATACTGGAACTACATGTGTAATAGTCTCTTTATACTCAGCAATTGTTTAGGTGGTCATTATGCTTGGCGATCTTAATCATTTGCAAGTTACAAACTCTTCAGCCCAGAGATCAGCCCTTCCATTTGTACAATTTTAGATCACCACCATCTGGGAATGCTTCCAACCAAATAAGGTTGATATCATAACTTTGCTTCAATGAAAAATTTGATTAAAACGTCAAAGGCAAGTTACCCATATTTTTGCCCTGCCCCTAAGCCCTCCGAAGGTTCAGCCACTCCTTTGTATCCCCATTCTAGGGATGCTTCCAACTATATAGGGTTGATATTCTCACCTTACAGTAGTTCCGAAGAAGAAGTTGAGTAAAGCAATATGGCAAAATTATCCCTTAATTTTTGGCTCCACCCCTCAGCCTCCTGGGGGTGTCCGCCCCTCCATTTGTACAATTTTGAATCCCCACCACGTTGTAATGCTTTCAGTCAATTGTTGACAGATGGATGAAGGACACCACAATCCTCTAGACCAGGTGAGCTAAAAATAATACCCTGTCCAATAACAGGAAACAGAGTTCCATAGAGGTAGCATCATAATGAGCTACATAGTTATAATGATTGAAGAAACCAGGAAAAATGGAACCTACCCAGTGAGTAAACAGCCTCAAGTACAAACGGTGAAGTCTGTGACAGCGTAGGACGAAGGGCATCATTCGGAGATCGACCACACCAAGTGTTTCTGAAAAAAATTGTAAACGTTTATTTGCATGATCATCTTCAAATCTGACATATAATAAATACAGCATTTATTATCCCCTTGCAATGAAAGTTTGAGGGGATATAGGATACCACTCTTTAATGCCATCACTCTACCAACATGATTTCTCAACAGAAATGCATGAAACTTTATACAAGTGTTTGGTATGGAAACGCCTTGAACAAATTTGCGTTTCGGGTTCGTGTGTTAAAGGTCAAGGTCACATTTACTATTTTAAGATCAACTTTGTCATCGCTCTATCGAGTTAATTCCTCAACGGAATGAAAATCTATTATCCATTGAAGAATGCAGTCGCTAGAGCAGATACTGAATTTTCTATTCACTTTCTCATACATATGTCACACAATGTGTGAATGCGAGGGAATTTGTATCACTTGTGATGCCTTGTACATTCTTTAAATAAATATCATTGTGAAAATGGGAGTGGATTTAGCGTTTTTCCATTACCTGTACCAGAACTGAGGTATGATGGAGATGGATGCGGAGTCGTCAGATCTGTTGTGGAGAGTGTAACAACAGACCAGGCTGCCAGTAGTGTCCTTACCATACTCTGTGTAGATGTCCCAGTAACAGTTCTTGTCAAACACACCTACAGGGGAATGTAAACAAGTCCTTTAAACATATGAAGAAACATTTCTTGTAACAAATGGTAACTAAGGATTATCTTGTGAACAAAAACATATGTGTCCCTTTATCAGCCAATAAGCATTTTTTGCTTCCCACTTGCTTGACCCTAGATCAAGGTGAAGGTCACAGTGACCAGTATAAAGCGCACTGCACACTGTCTGCTGGTAATACAGTTATCCTTCAAGTTTCATCAAAACATCTTCAATGGTTAAAGATTTACAGCCCAGCAAGTTTTTACGGAAATGTTTTCACTTATTCATCATTTGACCTTGAAGTTTCATCCTTTGACCTTGAGGTGAAGGTCAACATGGCCTTATCAGGATGCACTGCACACCTTCTTTGGGCCCGACTAGATTTTTCTGGAAATTTTGTACTTATCTGACCTTTGACCTTCAGGTCAAGGTAAAAAAGACCGACTTACAGTCCACTGTACACCTTTAGTTGGTGATGTATCTACAACTATAGTTTCGTCAAAATTTTCTGCTTCACTTATTCAGGATATCTCTGGCACTCACTAGGGTATGACAGACAGCGAGTGGCAAGAAACAAAACCAGGATGTCACGTATTTGCATGTTAAAACATAAAATCCCAATCAACATTGATTAAAAATTGTTATGAAGATTTACACCAATAGCTCATCATTATACCATAAGATCATATTAAAGGTGTATCTTTGACTCATTATGTGCAACTTTCCTGTGTTAGTCAATGAGAATTTTTGGAAGACATCTTCCGACATGTAACTATTAATCATATAATTGTATGAAAAAAAAAAAAAAAAAGGTGAAAGACTAACCCTCATTGTCAACAAGACTCGGTTTTCATAAATATATTGACCCTCAATAAATTTTGGTTTCTACCTGTGTCCATGATTTCAAACTCTGTGTCAGTTCTTTCCCTTGCTACATTCTGGTTGCGGAGGCTGACATAGGGAAACTCCTCCATGGGGTAGCGGTAGAGTGACCTCATGTAAGTGTGGTCTGGAGTGTTGTCAAGGTAATAGTAAAGCTCCTTTACATCCTCGCCATGGTTACCCTACACAATATAACTATCTCCAATATACAATAAATACATTACTCGCCATGGTTACCCTCCACAATATAACTATCTCCAATATACAATAAATACATTACTCGCCATGGTTACCCTCCACAATATAACTATCTCCAATATACAAAGAAAAAATACAATAAATACATTACTCGCCATGATTACCCTACACAATATAACTATCTCCAATATACAAAGAAAAAATACAATAAATACATTACTCGCCATGTTTACCCTACACAATATAACTATCTCCAATATACAAAGAAAAAATACAATAAATACATTACTCGCCATGGTTACCCTACACAATATAACTATCTCCAATATACAAAGAAAAAATACAATAAATACATTACTCGCCATGGTTACCCTACACAATATAACTATCTCCAATATACAAAGAAAAAATACAATAAATACATTACTCGCCATGGTTACCCTACACAATATAACTATCTCCAATATACAAAGAAAAAATACAATAAATACATTACTCGCCATGGTTACCCTACACAATATAACTATCTCCAATATACAAAGAAAAAATACAATAAATACATTACTCGCCATGGTTACCCTACACAATATAACTATCTCCAATATACAAAGAAAAAATACAATAAATACATTACTCGCCATGGTTACCCTACACAATATAACTATCTCCAATATACAAAGAAAAAATACAATAAATACATTACTCGCCATGGTTACCCTACACAATATAACTATCTCCAATATACAAAGAAAAAATACAATAAATACATTACTCGCCATGGTTACCCTACACAATATAACTATCTCCAATATACAAAGAAAAAATACAATAAATACATTACTCGCCATGGTTACCCTACACAATATAACTATCTCCAATATACAAAGAAAAAATACAATAAATACATTACTCGCCATGGTTACCCTACACAATATAACTATCTCCAATATACAAAGAAAAAATACAATAAATACATTACTCGCCATGGTTACCCTACACAATATAACTATCTCCAATATACAAAGAAAAAATACAATAAATACATTACTCGCCATGGTTACCCTACACAATATAACTATCTCCAATATACAAAGAAAAAATACAATAAATACATTACTCGCCATGGTTACCCTACACAATATAACTATCTCCAATATACAAAGAAAAAATACAATAAATACATTACTCGCCATGGTTACCCTACACAATATAACTATCTCCAATATACAAAGAAAAAATACAATAAATACATTACTCGCCATGGTTACCCTACACAATATAACTATCTCCAATATACAAAGAAAAAATACAATAAATACATTACTCGCCATGGTTACCCTACACAATATAACTATCTCCAATATACAAAGAAAAAATACAATAAATACATTACTCGCCATGGTTACCCTACACAATATAACTATCTCCAATATACAAAGAAAAAATACAATAAATACATTACTCGCCATGGTTACCCTACACAATATAACTATCTCCAATATACAAAGAAAAAATACAATAAATACATTACTCGCCATGGTTACCCTACACAATATAACTATCTCCAATATACAAAGAAAAAATACAATAAATACATTACTCGCCATGGTTACCCTACACAATATAACTATCTCCAATATACAAAGAAAAAATACAATAAATACATTACTCGCCATGGTTACCCTACACAATATAACTATCTCCAATATACAAAGAAAAAATACAATAAATACATTACTCGCCATGGTTACCCTACACAATATAACTATCTCCAATATACAAAGAAAAAATACAATAAATACATTACTCGCCATGGTTACCCTACACAATATAACTATCTCCAATATACAAAGAAAAAATACAATAAATACATTACTCGCCATGGTTACCCTACACAATATAACTATCTCCAATATACAAAGAAAAAATACAATAAATACATTACTCGCCATGGTTACCCTACACAATATAACTATCTCCAATATACAAAGAAAAAATACAATAAATACATTAAATACCATAACAATAAAAACCCAACACAACATAACTATCTTATATTCAAAAACCAATCAAATAAATTCACAAAAACACAAAAGATATGCTCTGAAAACCATTATTTTAGAACTTGAAGTAATGGTCAAATGTCAAATTTAGGTCACATTGACCTGGTTTTAGAATCCAACACACCGCTTTCCCGTGATGTACGTTTGTACAAAGCTTAATATCCATTCATAAAACAGCAGCTGAGATGTGCTCCAGAAATCCTTATTTTAGCATTTTAGGTCAAGGACAAATATCATGAAAGTGTAACAGTGAAATGTGGAAACATCAAAACAATACTTGGTGATTGTTCATCGAAAGTCAAGTTTATGAAGAATAATATGCATACACTTTTTTTTTTATAAAATAAGTGGCAGACGGAACAAATTTTTATTTGCAACAGAAAATAAAATTTCACCATCATTATCCAAGACATAGGCTTAATGCACTTCAAATATAAATCTATATTATAAATATAGAAACCAGCATTACAATAGGACTGTGTGTTGTTTTGCAATCAAAGTATTTTAATTGTAAAATCAATGAAAATAAAGAAGGATGCTTAGTCATGTAGCTCATATAATTAATTGTATGCACTCATCCTTTTGACTCTGGATAGAATAATTATATTTTATCAAAATGATTTCATGAAAATTATATAACTGAATTTTGGTATCCATGACAACAATAACTTGACCATTGACAAAAATCTATTAGAGAATTAAACATTATAAGAGTATTATCTAATTTTTGTACAGTCTCCTTGACTCAGTCGTCTTTGATTTCAGATGACATGGTTGGGTGTGGATCAACAGGGTTACTGAGACACTTTAAATATACAACGGGCAACCAGTCCCGTAAATCTCTGACTGGATAGTAAAGAAACCAGGTATGTTGGGTTAACAAGGCATAATTACATTCTGAACAAACCTCTGGGCCTGCAAGACCAAAAAGCCTCTCTTTCAGAAATGCATCTTTGCCATTCCAGAGTGCAAGACAGGAACAAAGACGCCCCTCGTAGTCAGAAACACCCATCAGACCATCCTCCCCACATCTGTAAACTGTCTCACGTGCTGTGTCATGACCTACCGCATTCCAACTGTCAGAAAATAGGACAATACCCTCATAATGGTTTCATCAATACACAACACAATCAAACTTTGATTTAATAAAATATTATGAAATGAAAAAAAACCTGAAATACAATCAAACTATTAGTAGAAAGATGGCTTTACAATGAAATATTCTGGTAATGCCAAAAACCATCAGGTATTAATCAATGTATTAGTTAAGCAATTCATAATGATGCCATTAGATGTTATCAAAAAGGCCCAATGGGCCAGTATCTAATAACTTGTTATTAATCTCACATTGTGACTTTCAAAGAGTTTCAAGGTCAAATTTATTTAATAAGGCTAAATATTCTTACACTTCCCATTATGGCTATTTGTTGGAGGATTTTAACTTATTTAACTATGATGAGATTTACAGTTGGTCTATAGGTTGATCATTCAGATCGCACACTTCATTACACTCTACACCTTTAAGTCATTGATAGGTTTTCATGTGTTTGATTGCTTTGAACAACACTGATGCTATTGGCTAAATTTCAACACCTTAGGTCTCTTAATTGTTCACAGGATTCTGCCTAAATATTTAAACAAATTTGACTCCTGTGACATTGAAAGTTGGTCAAGGTCATTCATTTGAATTAAATTGATAGTCCTTCATTCCAGCATCCTGTTGCATAATCAACATATGCCTCTGGGTTATTCAGAGAGTTATTTATTAGTTTTGACAAATTAAACACAAATGACCTTGAAAGTGTGTCAAGGTCATTCATGAACATTCTTTTTAATCTATCATATGAGTATGCTGCTGGATAAATATAACATCATAGGCCTCTTAGTTGTTTCAAATAAATTATTTAAATGATATATAAACGAATTTGACCCTGTGATTTTGAAAGTGGGTCATAGTCATTCATATTTAAACAAACTTTATAACCCATCAACCAGGATGCTGCACACCAGATATCACACAAAAGGCCTCTTGAATGTTCAAAAGAATAAAGTTATTAGATTTTTTAACCAATAGGACCTTGATGAGCTTGATATTGGTCCATGGTCATTCATTCCAACCAAAAATAAAAGCCCTTCATCCTAGTATGCCACTAAGTAATTATCATTCTAGTAAGGCAGCTTGGTTATACAGAAGAAGTTGCTGTTGAAATCTTTTTAAATAATTTTAACCTTGTGACCTAGGAAGTAGGTCAAGCTTATTCCTTTGAACAAATTAATTGCCCAAGACTGCAGCATTCTATATGTCCTGGCAAAATATTTTCACATTCTGGACAGACTTTCACCTCTGTATCCTCCATGATTTACCAACTGTTACCGCATTCACCTCTGTATCCTCCCTGACTTACCAACTGTTACCATTCACCTCTGTATCCTCACTGACTTACCAACTGTTACCATTCACCTCTGTATCCTCCCTGACTTACCAACTGTTACTGTTCACCTCTGTATCCTCCCTGACTTACCAACTGTTACCAATCACCTCTGTATCCTCCCTGACTTACCAACTGTTACCATTCACCTCTGTATCCTCCCTGACTTACCAACTGTTACCATTCACCTCTGTATCCTCCCTGACTTACCAACTGTTACCATTCACCTCGGTATCCTCCCTGACTTACCAACTGTTACCATTCACCTCTGTATCCTGCCTGACTTACCAACTGTTACCACTCACCTCTGTATCCTCCCTGACTTACCAACTGTTACCCTTCACCTCTGTATCCTCCCTGACTTACCAACTGTTACCGTTCCCCTCTGTATCCTGCCTGACTTACCAACTGTTACCATTCACCTCGGTATCCTCCCTGACTTACCAACTGTTACAGTTCACCTCTGTATCCTCCCTGACTTCCCAACTCTTACCCTTCACCTCTGTACCCTCCCTGACTTACCAACTGTTACCACTCGCCTCTGTATCCTCCCTGACTTACCAAATGTTACCGTTCACCTCTGTATCCTCCCTGACGTACCAACGGTTACCGTTCACCTCTGTATCCTCCCTGACGTACCAACGGTTACCGTTCACCTCTGTATCCTCCCTGACTTACCAACTGTTACCGTTCACCTCTGTATCCTCCCTGACAGTTCCCCATTGTCGGTCAGACAAGTATGGCCCCCAGAATTTGACATCATACTCAGCATCTGGCTGTTGTTCCTCATCACTTTTCAGTACTTTCCTGGCACGCTTGGTTTCGGGGGATTCACCATCATCCAAGCTCCTTTCATATTTCTTTTTAGAAGATGTCTGCCCCATGTTTTGGTTTGTCACAGCACTTGCTCGAATCCTGTAGTATTTGATTTACAAATGAAGCTTGCTTTTCCTTTTCAATTTTACAGCTACACATGTAAATAACATTATCAACTTTCCGAATCAAATTCTTACTTATCTGACTTTTGAAATATACAATCAATGAAAAAATGGTTAAGTACTGTATGAACTTTTGATGTGTACGTATACAGTTTCATGAATTATACTTATGCCATTTTTATCTTGTGTATCAATATACATACGTTTGTTTCATGTTGGTGTCTGTTTCCTTCCTGGGTTTCCTCTGAGACATTCTGGCGTGGAGGTCGGGGGAGTCTTATCCTGTTCGAGTAACTTATACACCAGCTTTAAGTTAGTCGGAGAGTCATTGTCACTTAGACGCTTAACAGCAATAACATTATCGTATGTTCAAGCATTCGTATGACAAGAACCTACTTTCATTTTCGAACATTACGTTACGTATTACTACCACGCACAGGTACAGCCTTCGTACATTATACTACGTACATTAACATCTCTATAGCTTTCGTGAGTGCACATTATCACTTCCATCGTATCAAAACATTTTTCATGAAGTTTGATTTTTTTTTTTCATGATGGATATATCAGAGACGCATTAGACTTGCGAGAGTCCGGTCCAGAATATATGTTGAGAAGATACAAGATACAAGATACAAGAATTTTTATTTAGAGTCGTGTTTGTAACAATGCAACTTTAGCTTAGAAGAGCTATTCTTACGATTATTTTAACAATCATAATTAATAGAAACAATAAAATATCACAAAAGGTAGCATGCATCACAGATGGTTGAATAAAAGGTAAAATAGCACGGTAATTAAAGGTCAGAAGATTTGGTAATCAGGGGCGTAGCTGGGATATAATTAAATAGTGTGTAGGCACTTGAACAATTAACGTTAGTGCAGGTAAATTCGTCACATTAGTAAGGGTTTCAGTTAACAATTTGTCCAAATACACATCATAATCATACCATAATAAAAAACAAAGAAATAGAATATTTCCCTATCAGATCATAATGCCGACCATAAAACCTTCTTCATATTAGCATGCATATTTGGAAACCCGCTGTTGTAATTTTGTCCGTCAGCAGTTGAAATCTATATGATACCATAATGAAGCCATTAAATTATTCTATTTGGATCAAGCTCTTGAATACCGACCGAATCAACTCCGCATTAAAGCCATTTTGATATCTGTGGAGTATAACATATAGATAGATAGAATTACAATATGGGGAATCATGGATGTTACCGCCAAGAAAGGGAAAATGCATGATCAGAAAATCAAAATCTTTCCGCTAATCGTACAGTGTAGTTGTAAGAGGTTCGTTTTGATCATGTTATGAGTAAAGATCGAGGAAAGCGGCTTACATTTAAGGCTTGGGAGGTTGCATAAGATCGACGCGTCGAAAAGTCAAAACTTTTGATAGAAGAAAAAATTTTGAGAAGAGTTTTTCAAGATTGACCAAAAGAACTTTTCAATTCTTCAAATCCACTTACCGGGTCAATGATTACAGAGTCACAATAAAACTGTATACCTAATTAAATGGTATAACGAATGGTAAAAGTAATAGTTTGCATAATTGCTTTGTTGAGTCCGCGATAAAACGTTATTTATAAGGATTCTTGCGAAATTTCCGAATCCAACACAAACGTGGCAGGTCCGTAGAAGTGTAATTAGTTGATGTTTCGTCTTTCGAAAAATTAGATACTATTTAGTTATCAAGCATGCTAAGTTGTCTAGTTCAGTCACTGGATTCAAGATAGACTAAAATATTCTTAATGACTTTTGACATGATAGGATGCTTGTCTAGGTAACTTTGTGTATTTATTTATTAATTTATTTTTTATTTATTTTTTTAACGGCCATTCGACGGCTGTGGTCATTTAGGACCATGGTGATTTATTTATTTATTTTATTTTTTAAACAAACATGTGAGTAGCGAAGATAAAAAAGTTCATTTTAATAGCATTCGCATTGTACCTGTAGATAATTAAAAAAAAGGGGGTTAAAATATTAAAGTGATAACGAACAGGTGATATGGACTATGTGATATATATAACGTCAAAAGGGTAAGGTGGGTTAAAAGATATCAGAGTCTATAGAATAGACCGATGTCTTTCAAATACTTAAATAATTTCTTCGAGTCCACGGAACTGAAAAGAGTTTTCATATCCGGGACTCGAAAGTAGTTATCACGAATGTGTTTAAAATCGGAACATTCTATTAAAAAAATTCCCACTGTAAATGAAGTGTCACATGCGTGGCATGAAGGTGGATCTTCTCGTTTCAAAAGGTACGAATGAGTAGGATATATGTGCCCAGTACGGAGCCGAGCGAAGACAACTTCTTCTCTACGATCTTTCCGACTTGGAATAGACATTTCGATTGTAGTTTAAACAGTGTGTTGCTGGTCTCGAGAGACCAACGTTGCTGCCATTCATTTTGAATGGCTGTACGAAAAACAGGTTTAAAATCTTGATATGGTAGTTTGATATTTGTTTCATGGAGATTTAATGCATTTTTTGCTTCTCTGTCAACAAATTCGTTGCCTTTAATTCCGACATGGCTAGGAATCCATAGGAGAGTTATTTTTTAGATTTTTTTAAGATACGAGATATTCGAAGAGCAAGGTTTTGTACGAGTGTGTTTTTAGGATCTCGTAACTGTAAACTCTGTAGCACAGATAGAGAGTCTGAACAAATGATTGCCTTTTATTGCGGTGTTCATCGATATTTTCGAGGGCCAAACCAATGAGGCATGCTGCGGCAGAAAAGATGGAGGCGCGTCTGGTAGTTGAACTGAAGTGCAAAAATTAGCAGTACAACAGGCTGCTGCCACTTTCTCACCCTCTTTGGAACCATCGGTGTAAAGTTGTTTATGAGAAGGGTAATTCGAAATGCATTCCCGAAAGGAAAATTTGTATTCTTCAGGCATAACACTTGAATTCCCTCGCTCATGTAATGTAAAGTTAAAATCAGGTGTTTGAATGGTCCACGGAGGAACATTCAGATATGTTAAATTCAGCTATGTCGGTCAACTTTATGTTGAGTTCTTGCAGGCAATTTGCAATTCGGATACCAAATGTTGACAGAGGTTTTTGGGTTTTGCGTAAATATCTTTTGGTATTTTAGATTGAATACTTGGTCGAAAGCAGGATTTTTAGGGTTTGATTTTAATTGAGCTGCAAACTGTAATGCAAGTTTTTTCCTTCTGTCATAAAGGGTGGTTCATTCGCTTCCACGTACAGGCTTTTTACAGGTGTTGTTCGAAAAGCTCCAAGGGCTAGACGTAGCCCTTGATTTTGGATTGGGTCTAACATCTGCAGGTACGAACTGCGCGCCGACCCGTAGAACAATAATCCAGTTTTGTTATTGTGAACCTCTATATACATATAGTTATAACACGTTTTAGATCATCTAAATACATAACTGGAACACGTTTGAGGTCCTCAATATACAAAATTAAAACCCGCTTGAGGTCTTCTGTATATGTTATTAGAACACGTTTGAGATCCTCTGTATATGTT